TATAAAGCCAGCATTAACCTAATTCCAAAGCCAAATAAAGACACTACAAGGAAAATTATAGGCCAATATCTATGATGAACATAAATGATAAAATATTCAACAAAATCCTCCATCAAATCCAGTAATATATTAAAAAGATTATATACCATGATCAAGAGAAATTTATTCCAGAGATGCAAGATTGGTGCAATATCTACAAATTAATAAACATGACACACCACATAAACAAAAGGAAGGATAAAAACCACATGGTCATATCAATAGATGCAGAAAAAGCATTTGATAAAATCCAGCACTTGTTTATAATCAAATCTTTTATTAAATAGTCATCATATAAATGGAAGTTAATGTATATGAAAATTTTTGTCAGTTGAAGGTAAATAAATATGAAGGAATTAAATTATCTAGTAAAGGGACTAAGAAAATTTTGGACAACTTTTGGTGCTCACATCTCAAATAATATATTGTGCTTAACTTCTCTAAACAACAAAAGAGAAGTTTCCATGTGCAAGGATTAAGAACATGGGCTATGATCACACAGATTAGACTGAATCCCATGAAGTAGATAATACTTGGTCATTTTTAATTTATAGAAAATGACAGTGTATATATATCAAGTTATATACATTGTATGTCACATATATTATAGATACAGATATACACACATGTGTGCTATTCTGTCCCCTGCTGTACTGTGTGTGCCTACAAAATCTGTGTCATTATATTTCTACTACAGTCAGTGCATGAAATTTGTGCACGGAGCGGGTGTTCCCTCAGCCCAGTCTGCACCCACTCCAACCGGGGACCCTTCAGGGGTTGTCTGACCACCGGTATAGGCCCGATCCCACTGGGCAATTGGACACCCCTCTCACAATCTGGGTCGCTGGCTCCTAACCACTCACCTGTCTGCCTGCCTGATTGCCCCAGCCCCTCTTCCTGCCTGCCCAATCACCCCTAATTGCCCTCCTCGGGCAGCCTGATGGAGCCCCCAACTGCCTCTGCCTCCCTATCACCCTAACTGTCCTCCCTGATCTCGCCCCCAACTGCCCTCCCCTGCCACCCTGGTTGCCCCAACATTTACAGGGGACTCATACTACTTAACAAAAGGAAGACAAACAACCCAATCAGAAAATGGGCAACAGACCTAAATAGATACTTTTCAAAAGAAGACAGAAGGAAGGCCAAGAGACATATGAAAACATGCTCTTAGTTACTCTCATCAGAGAGATGCAAATCAAAACAAAAATGAGACACCAGCCAAGACAGGTTTGGCTCAGTGGATAGAGCGTCGGCCCGGGGACTGAAAGGTCCTGGGTTTGATTCCGGTCAAGGGCATGTACCTTGGTTGCGGGCACATCCCGAGTAGGGGGTGTGCAAGAGGCAGTTGGTTGATGTTTCTCTCTCATCGACGTTTCTAATTCTCTATCCCTCTCAATTCCTCTCTGTGTAAAATCAATAAAATATATATATTTTTTTAAATGAGACACCATCTCACACATGTCAGAATGGCTATCATCAACAAAACAACAAACAAGTTTTGGCAAGGATGCTGAGATTGCTGGTGGGAATTTGTTTAAAAACAGTAGCTTTGGAAACATTATCATATGCATCCTGATAATATGTACTGGTGTAAATCTAAGTCTGAAATACACCTACAGACATACTAGTACATACATATATACATACATACACAGAGAGAAGGTAAACATAGTACAATATTAACCATTGGGGAATTGGCTAAAGATTGACCAGGAATTCTTAATATCATTATTACAACTTATCTGTATCTTTAAAATCATATCAAAATAGAAAGTTGAAAAATCTTTCTTCCCAGCTGGAGCAATGCCCAAGAACAAAGCAGTCCAGGGCACTGTCCCCCAGGACTCCAGTCCCTCTTATTCTGGGACACATGACTCCCCAAAGGGCAGTCAGAAATTAGCCCAAGCTTGCGGACTTGGTTGCAGTGTCTCATTAGCAGTTAAGTGTCACCTGTGGACTGATTTCTCTGCAGCTGGTTAAGGAAAATGAAAGTCTGTAGAAGTGCCAAAGCCCCAGATATTGCTTCTGTGTGTCTGGATGTGAGGTCTCCTGAAGAAAACCTGAGGAGATGGGCAACAGTCTGGAGCAGAAGGTGTCTGAACTCACCGATGATGAGCCCAGGTGAGAGGAGCTGGAAATCTGCCCTTGGCGATGGATCTGCCTGTGTGCTAGTGGGTTCATGTGTGAGACTCTGTGTCCATGACCCTGTGTGTGTATTGTGTACACTTGTATATGTGCTGTTTGATAGTTGTGTATGTGTTTTGAATCTGACTCACAGTCTCATTTCAGCATATGTAGACCAAGTTATCAGCCTCCTGGATGTGATTAGGGACTCCTGCTTCATGTTTGTGATTGTAAACAATGGTATCACAGCTGAGCATTGGAAGTGAGACTGTTATCTCTGCTGGAGAACAAGAAGATGCCTGCCTCATCAAGAACCAAAATCAGCTCAGACAGAGCTCAGACCTCTGCTCAGCCGTGTGTTGTGCACATGTGAGCTGTGCCTGTGGGCAACACTCTCATATATGAGAGCTGGAAATTATGTTATTGATTTTCTCTGTGTGTGTGTGTGACACATGTGTATGACTGTATGCATGTGTGTTGGTGGTGGTTTAATGACTGTGCCTGTAAACTGAATAGGCTTAACTGTTCCATGCTGACTGCAAGGGGAAGGTCAGAAGGAGGAAAGTTTCATTAATAGGAGAGTGTATACTGTTTGTTGTAGTGAGTGTGGTTGGGTGTGCATATGTGTTGTGGTGTGTGTTTCTTATAAGATTACTGAATTGTTTGTACTCTATGTGGTGATTTGAGTGTTCATCAGGTGCATCATGAAGCATGTGTGTTGATGAGGATTGTTAGTATGTTTTGGGGTGAGAGGTGTATTATTGTAGGTTGTGTATGTCCAACTTTGTGTTAGTTCTGACTTGTATGTATGCATATGAGTGTTTATGAGTTGAACCACATATTGGCAGTTCTTCCTTTACGATGGAAATTTGGTCAGGGGTGACTTACATTCTCCAATCAGCAGTGTGTGTGTGAGTGTGTGTGTTCTGTATCCATGACTCAAGTGTTTCCTAAAGTGTCCTCCTTCAGGGCACCATTACCTAAGATACTCAATTCTAAGCAACACCCTGTCTCTTGAAATTGATTTGCTATTATTTTTATGAACCTGAGTGTGACTGAGTTGCTCAGAATTTTCCAACCTTTTCTTTATTTTTACTAAATACTAAATTTTTACTAAATGTAAAAATAAATACTTTATTTTTACTAAATGTGAGACATTACTTTCAGGCAGAAACAACCAACACCACGTAAACATACCACGGAAACAAACAAACTAACCATAAACTCCAGGTATCATGATGTGTAAAGGTATTGGGCAGAATTGGCATTATATAGTGATGAGATCTTGGGGAGGTTATATAAAACATTGGTCTAACTTTCACATATATAAAATGGAAAGAATGACACAAGTTTAATGAATCTTGCAGACATTCTCAGTAAATAGTTATTTCATAAATAGATCTTAATGTATTTGAGAGGTTTTTGTCAGTTGGAAAGTAAATAAACATGAAGGAATAAAATTAACTAGTAAAGGGAATAAAAGCACATTTTGGACAACTCTGTGTCCTCACAGCTCTAAAATAATATATTGTGCTTGTCTCCTAAGCAAGAAAAGGGAAGTTTCCCTGTGTAACAGTTAAGTCAATGGTTTCTGCCCTGGCCTGTTTGGCTCAGAGGCTGGAGTACCGGACTGAAGGATGGACTGAAGGGTCCCTGGTTCAATTCCGGTCAAGGGCATGTACCTTAGTTGCAGGCACATCCCCAGTGGAAAGTGTGCAGGGGACAGCTGATCGATGTTTCTCTCTCATCGATGTTTCTGACTCTATCCCTCTCCCTTCTTTGTAAAAAAATCAATAAAATATATTTTTTAAAAGAAAAAACAAAGCATGGTTTCTGATCACACAGACATATTAGACTGAACTCCATGAAGTAGCTAACACTTGGTGATTTCTAACTTATAGAAAATGGTAATACATATATATCGTTATAAACATTTCATATGATATGAAATGTAATATGTAATTACATTGTAATACATAGATACTAATACACACACATGTATTGTGTGCTATTCTGTTCCAGCTGTACTGCTGTGAGCCTGCAGAATTTGTGTCATTTATGTTTCTATTTCTTAAAAACTAAAATAGGTCAAAGAATACAAATCCTTAGAGTAGCTGTGAAGAGGTTTTAAAACCTGGGAATGTAAGGCTGATGTGTGAATTTAATTAGGAAATGTAGGTAAAGTCCTTAGCCTGGTACCCAAATGTTCATCTAAATGTTCAGCATTATTTTGAAAGATAAGTTTGTAGACTATTCTGGTTTTGAAGATATTCTGGCATCCAATGGCCACCCATTTCCAGACTGTCCCTGAGTTTACAGCTGAGGGTCAACGGGAGCAGGCAGATTCATAGGAAGTCTGACAATTCTCCAACCAGGTCCACTCAGCAGTAGAGTCTCACATTACTTTCAGGCAGAAACAACCAACACCACGTTGCAGGCTCTGACTTTCCATTCTTGCCACAGTGAATGATTATGGTTTGGCTCTGGCCTGGCATAGATGTAAACTCATAGAAGGGGGCACATTGCATTCTTATTCACTGCTGCACTTCAGTCCTTAGTAGAGGTTCTGACACAGAAGTGATATTAAAGGTAATATTTGAGTAAACAGCAAACCCCTCTTATTTCTATGTGATGAGGTCTTGTAACTACTTAGGAGGCTCAATGTGTTCCTGGAACCAGAGTGGGAGAGAGGGAAGAGGCACACATCCACAGGTGTGAGAAATTAATATGAAGTATTATATTTAAAAATGAATGGTTTTCCCAATTACGACAGTATGAGATTAGATGTCCTGTTCATCCTTTCTAAGTTCCTGAGACTCCCACACCTTCTGCATCCCCAGCAGACAGAAGAGCAGCATGAGGCCTGAGAACCAGAGCAGCGTGTCCCAGTTCCTCCTCCTGGGGCTCCCCATCCCACCAGGGCAGCAGGGCGTGTTCTTCACCCTGTTCCTGGGCATGTACCTGACCACGGTGCTGGGCAACCTGCTCATCATCCTGCTCATCAGGCTGGACTCCCGCCTGCACACGCCCATGTACTTCTTCCTCAGCCACCTGGCCTTCTCTGACATTTCTCTCTCATCTGTCACTGTCCCTAAGATGCTCATGAACATGCAGACTCAGCAACAATCCATCTCCTATGTAGGATGCATTTCTCAATTGTATTTTTTCATGCTTTTTGGTGATCTTGACAATTTTCTTCTGGCTGTGATGGCATATGACAGGTATGTGGCCATCTGTCACCCTCTGCACTACATCACCATCATGAGGGAGGGCCTGTGTCTGCTGCTGGTGGCTGGCTCCTGGATTCTCTCCTGTGGCATTGCCCTTTTCCACACTTTCCTCATGGTCAGATTATCTTTCTGTGCTGACAATACCATCATTCACTACTTCTGTGACCTTGCTGCACTCCTGAAGCTGAGCTGTTCGGATACCTCCCTCAATGAGCTGGCCATATTCACCGAGGGAGGGATGATTTTATTTTTGTGTTTTGGTGTAATTTTGGGCTCCTATATTCGTATAGGGACCATCATCCTGAGGGTCCCCTCCACTAAGAGACTCTCTAAAGCCTTGTCTACCTGTGGCTCCCATCTCTCTGGGGTGTTGTTATACTATGGGACAGTTGCAGGTATTTACTTTTTCTCCTCATCATGGGGTTCCAAGGACATAATTGCTTCGGTCATGTATATGGTAGTTACCCCCATGCTGAACCCCTTCATCTACAGCCTGAGAAACAGAGATATAAAACAGGCCTTAGACATGTGTGTCAAGATTAAGTTCTTTAAATGGTAATCATTAAATCCTCTTGTTGCAGTCAGGAGCACATGGAAATATATCTCTTAAAATTACCGAATAGTCAACATCTCCATATAACTTAAATAAAATATGCATTCTGTTGTCATGTACAGTGTAGTTAATATGTAAACTAGGCCAAGTTTGCCACATGGATTGTGAGTAATGTTACATTCCCAATTAGTAATTGTTGCTTGTTCATCACCTCATAAGATATATGCAAAATCTTATGCAAAATATATTGCACAATGATAGTTGTGGATTTGTCTCTTTCTCCTTTGAAATATGCCAGTATTTGCTTATGTATTTGTTATACTATGTTATTGATTTAGTCTCATGATTTTCTTCTGGTGAAATTTTTTTTTACTTTATTCTTTGATGCTGGCTTTTGATAGCTTCAAATTGATTGTGAGAATTTCTTCCCAACTGACATTCAGTGACATTATGTTGGTAGATTGCAATCAGCCATGATAAGAAAAATTACACTATGAAAAATGGCATATGCTACAAAAGAAGGCTTTTTTAAAAAGAGAGCCAAACATTTTAAAAATACATACAAAATCATACCACTGCATTTATAATTAGGAGATATTTCTAGAAATGGGCTTTACCTTAACTATTAGGTCTAGTAATAATTAATGTCGTTTTCTAATACTTTTTTTAAATCGAATTTATTTAAACAATACAACAAAATTTAATCAACAATATAGTTGCCGTTGTTTTCTACTACTTGTGCCCAACGCTCAGGAAGCATTTTAATCCCTCTGTTGTAAAATTCTGGTGATTTTGATGCAAAAAATTTTCAATACATTTTTGAGGCATTCTTCATTATTAAATTTTTTTCCAAGAAGAAAGTTTTGCAAAGAACGAAACAAATGGTAATCGGAAGGGGCAATATCAGGAGAATATGCAGGTTGAGGGAGAACTTCCCATTCCAACTGGTGCAGTTTTTTAGCAGTGATTCTTGCAGTATGCGGTCGTGCGTTATCGTGGTGAAGAATTACGCCCTTCCGATTAATCAGCGCGGGTTCTTTTTCTCTTAAAGCTTGGGCTAACCTTTCCAATTGGGCACTATACACTGCACTTGTAATGGTTTGGTTAGATGGTAAAAGTTCATAATGAAGAATTCCTTTAAAATTCCACCAAACACACATCACTTTTTTCGCATGCAAGTCAGGTTTTGGCGTGGGCTGCAGAGCCTCATTTTTGTCCAACCATTGAGGCCGCCTTTTCAAATTAACATACAGCACCCATTTTTCATCTCCGGTAACAATTTGCTCTAAAAACGGCTAACGGTTTTGATGAGAGAGGAGCGAACTGCAAATTGTGACTCTTTGATTACAGTTGTTGTCGGTCAACTCATGAGGAACCCATTTTCCAAACTTTTAGACTTTGCCAAGTGCACGCAATTGATTGGAAATTGTTTTTTGTGAACAATTTAAAGTTGTCGCAAGCTCTTGTTGGGTAATTTGAGGATTTTGCACCAAAAGAGCTTGAAGAGCTTCTTGATCAAAATTGGACACACGGCCTCGACCACTCTTGTCAACTAACGAAAAATTTCCCTCGCGAAATTTCTCAAACCAACGCTAGCATTTTCTGGCGCTAACTGCATCTTGACCAAGAGCACTACAGATGTTTTTTGCAGCCTCACTTGCTTTTCTTCCTAATTGGAACTCGTAAAGCATGCAGTGTCGAATATGCTCTTCATCCGCCATCTTCTTAGCCCTAGTTTTGCAACAAAAACCAAACCAAACACAAACTTTTTCAAGCAAAACTTGTTAATTGCACTTCACACGTTCTGTAGATACCACGTGTTTGAAGGTTATGTCAATACAAGTCAACGCCAAGCAAGATTTTAAACGAATGTTTAAAAACGACATTAATTATTACTAGACCCGATACTACTCATCTCCTTCCAATATTAGTATAGGTACTTTATATCTATCGCTATGGATATGAGTATACATACAAATATAAGAACAGACATCCTGTATAATAAAGAGGTAATATGCAAATTGACCATCATTCCAACACACAAGATGGCTATCCCCATGTAGTCAAAAATGGCCACCCCCATGTGGAAGGGCAGTTAGGGACAACCAGGCCTGCAGGGGAGGGCAGTTGGGGGGCAATCAGACCAGCGGGGTAACAGTTAGGCATCCATCAGGCTGGCAGGGGAATGATTAGGGGGTGATCAGGCTGGCAGGTAGAAGTGGTAGGGGCAGGCAGGCAGGCAGGCAAGTGGTTGGGAGCCAGCAGTCCTAGATTGTGAGAGGACAGTCAGATATCCCTCGAAGGGTCCAAGATTGGAGAGGGTGCAGGCTGGGCTGAGGGACACACACCCCACCCCCATGCACAAATTTCATTCACCAGGCCTCTAGTGTAGGTATAAATATACAGATAGAGATATAGATACTAGTATAGAATAGGTAGTAAAATGCAGCTTTCTTGCAGTTAGAGTTTAAATTGTATAATTTTTCCATCACTTTAAACTTCTCTTTTTCCTTATATCTCTGAGGTGTCCGTTATTAAAAATGTAATGCTGGATATTGCTCATCTTATGTAGAACAACAATTATTTCTGGAGAATTTTATCTCTTGACATCTAATATAATCATAATACATCTTAATTTATATTTTCCATGTAACTATGTTTTTTATTTGATACATGTTTCACATATATTCTCTCATCTTCCTCCCTTTTGATTAAATATATATTTTAATCCATTTCCCTCTACAGTAGGTCCTTGGATTACATGTGAGCTCCACTCCTATTAGTTTCTGATTTATTCTTCCTGTGCTTCTTTTTGCACAAATGGGCAGATAGATGGATATTTTATTTCCCTTCATTTTACATGAGAGGTAGCATGCTATAAATGCAAGCAAAACATGAATAGAAAAGATGGTTAGTAAAGCAAAATAGAACAAAATAAATCAAATGAACATTAAAAAAATTAATTAAGACCATAATTACACTAAAAGGGAAAATAAATAACCTAAGTATTATAGTTCTTGAACCCAGAATTTTGTCTATATATTTTCACAATTAAAATAAACAACAAAAAAACTCAAAACAAAGTTTTAAGCTGTGGTATGTTATTAACTGTGGTGTGAGTTCAAGATTCTGAAACAATTCACCATGTATCCAAAGATTCATCAATTAAGCCAACACTGAGGAAAAGATCGTGACTCTCACTCTCAGGGAAAGGAGCTCTGAACATGGAAAAGGAGAGGCTGGAAAACACTATGGTGTCAAACTAGAGTTGGAGATACCAATTCAAACTCATGGGTTTTAAAATATATAAACAGTTTGCAATTTATTTTTTTATTCATAGTCTGTATACCAACATCTATTGTATATTGCCCCACCCTCATTATTTGTGTCCCACTCCTGACCCACCTCCTGTGGGTAAACTTTCCTTCAGTTTCTTAGTTTCTAGTTTTTACTCCTTTTGTTTCTGTTATCAGTATTTCCTAGTTGGCTTCTCTGAGATCATTTAGAATCCCTGCAACCAATGAAAATGCTTAAAGCTACAAAACAAATAATGGTAATGGGTTATAACTCAAGAGAATAAGGAAGTGTCCATGAGACTATAATGATATGGAAAAAATTTAAATAAAGTGGGAAATTGGGTAAGTCCCTTCTTATAGGATAATACTCTTAATAAACATCTTATCTAATAAAGAGGGGAAATGCATATTGACTGCCATGCTATAACGGACAAGATGGCTATGCCCACGGCAGAGGCTGAGTTTCCTGTAAGGAGCCTTAATGAACAATCAGCAGGGACCTGAGGCTACGTAGTGCTGGGCCAGGGCGGGGGACCTGACGCTGCACCCCCCATCTGGAGGGGCTTGACAGGGGACCTCGGGCGGTGTACCCCACCCAGCAAGGATTGATTGGGAACCTCAGGCTGCACCCGACTCCCCAGCCCAGGCAATCTCAGGCTGCACACAGTGGTAACCCCCATGATGAACCCCTTCATTTACAGCCTGAGAAATGGGGATGTCAAGAGAGCCTTCAGGAAATAGAGGAGCAGATCATGGATTTCTTTCTTTAGATGAAACCCTAAAACACTGTTCCAAATTTTATCTGTGATTCTGGGGAAACAGTTTTGTCCCTTGTATGTTTTTCTTTTAGAACTTCCTAGAAGTATCTATATTAAGTACATTTTACAGATTTTCGTATTGGATATTGTCCTGAGGTTTCCCTTAAACCCAAAGTACATGAAATTATGTATTTAATGCAAAACAATAACATGGCTTTGGTTATAGCTGAGGTTGTTTTCTGGACCTGTCATTAAACACCCAGGTTCTAATGCTCAGAGTTACTTACATGCAAGGAAAAGAAATCAATTCTCATTGGTTTGTGAAGGTAATATGGTTATTGAAAATGTACGTGGATTTTCCAAGACTAAGCAACGGGGCTCAATAAAATGGAAAAGAAACACAGACAAAATCATATCTCAGATTGGTCTGATGAGCTCAATGCTGTAATCACCAAACTGCTCACTACCACTTGTACCCCCCCCCCCCACAATAGTTACCAGCAACAGTCACTGGGCATAACCCTTGGAGGCTTGAAGACCAGATACAATCACCTCCAGAAAGAACTGCCCAGTTCTTATTCTTTGCATAAACACATCCAGATTCAAATAAGGTGGTACAGATGATTGGCCAAGTCTTGATCACTCGCCCATGTTCTAGTTCACAGGGAAGTTGGGAGAGAAACATGGATGCTTTTATTCTCTACAGGATAGAACGAGGTTCTGTCTCCAACCAATATAGGGAGAGGGATATAATGACTAATACCTGTTATTCAATAGATATTAGTCATTATATCCCTCTACAATTAAGATGTTCTACAATTAAGCCACTGTCACAGTTCTCCAACTTGCATTTTCTTAAATTCACAAGTTGTACCATTCAAGAACAACTTAAACTACTTTATCTCTGTACACTCTTGATTTTTTTCTATAGTTGATATATAGAACTTGTCTA